TTTTTTTTTTCTCGTTGTTCGTCAGAAATTACTGTTCTTTTTTCCGTTGTTGTTGTTCCTTATAAGTGTAGAAAACGGAAGTAAACAAACAAAATGGAATTTTTTGGTAACTTCAAAAATAGTAATAATGATACAGTCAGTGATGTTAAAGTGTTAGTGAAATCTGTCGAGCTCTGTATCGGTCAACAGATTCGGTATATATGGTAGTTTTTTGGAACGATTAAAAGACAGTTAGCAAAAAGATTATTATCAAAACATATATCCGATGTTCAGCACTTGAAAGCCATTTGGGATAGTGTTAACTTCTGCCTGAACAATTGAATCATTTAAAATCTGTCAATTTTTGTTTGTCATTAACACCGATCAAAAAGTTTGTCAAACAGATACAGCAAAAAAAATTATTTTTCTTTTAAATTATTCAAACTGTATGCTGAAAAAAAAAAAGACTGTTTGCGTTGAGTCATAAATAATTTTGTTTTTAATTTTTTATAGACCATCAAAGGTTTAATATAGATTGGTGAACAGAAAGATCAAAAAAAAAAATGAGAAAGGAAAGTCTTTCATTTTTATTTCTTCTTTTTCTTTCGCTACTTCTTCTGCTTTTTGCGGATTTATATTTTTGCAGACTTATAAGTTTTATCATTTAGTAATGGTGGTATTTTATCAAAAAAGTTCATAACGACGGCATGACCAATTTGCTGGATTTTCATAAGACTCAGTAACTGAGTAAATACTTTTGCTTAACAGTTATTAACAAAAGGAATTTCTTTTTTTCTCTTGGAATTAAATTTTAAAAGTGTTCAGTGAAGATTTTCTTTTTTTTTATATTACTTTTGTTTACTGTTAATTAAAGTTAAAAATGAAGTCACAAAATAATGACGACAAATTTTTACCGTTTTATGCTGTTAAAACAATTTTTTTTAACTTGTATAAACTACACTTTAATTTTTGATAAACTTTTTTTTTTTTTTCAAGAAGGTTTTAAGGATGAGCAAAATAAAAAGGAAAAACAAGCAATTAGGGGTAAATAAAAAGTGTCATAAAATATGAGGTTTTTAATGGTCAACAAGAAAACATAAATGCAGGATACAAAAACTACAGCATTTTGATTCACACATATAGCATTAGCAGTTAGTTAATTTGTTGCTAGACACTTGAACAATTATGTAAATATATAAGCGATCATTAAACGATGACCACCACCTGTTAGGTGAAACGATGTGATCAGTATGACTGACTGCTTGGTTGGCGACAACAGTTACCTCAGGGTTACCAATATTCTTCGACCTTCACACTCCGTATCAACAAATTGCTTGCCGTCTATATTACTGTCCGTCAGTTGTCTATATCACCACTGTAATGCCTAACAACCGCCAAGTTATGGCTTCTATTTCCGCAGTAATAATGTTTTGCTATATTTCTTCAGATTAATGATTGGAAAAATTTGCTCATTATTCTTTTACGTTTGTTTTTAAACATCTATGACATCTATGATCGAAAACCTGCCTGAACTAACCTAGTATATGTGTGTATTTGTGCATACTTATTGTTGTAACTTTTCATGCAGCAGCTGAACTGCCGTGGGATTACAGCCTTTGATTTGTATGTGTATTATATATGTAGGGGAGGGGGGACGGGGGGAAGGGAAGAGGAGAGGGGTCATGGGCTTTCGGGTGGCGTATATTTGCGATTAATGCTGTTAGGGTGTTTGTATGTGTTTGGAAGAAAAATGTCGATTAATGTTGTTGTTTTTACTTGCAAATAAATTGGCCAATATTTTCAAACAAAGATTTGTAGTTTTATTTCTTATGGCTTATTTTTTTTTGATTTTTTAACATATCTTTTTTTTTTCCTTTGAAAATGTGCAACAGAAAAAATTTATTGCTTGTTGAATTGTGTTTCATTGATTGTTGCTCTTTTTATCTGTTCTGAAAACATACTGCTCTTGTTGGAAATGATAGCATTATTGTGAGTCTTGATTAATTTTTTACAAAGTTTGAGAGGAAAAAAAAATTTTTCTTTGTTTTTGAACCTTCAGTTGATAACGGTTTTTTATCTCTTTGATTTTTTATTTTGCAAAACCATAAGAAAAAAAAAAGGGCTCGAAGAAACTGATATCTATAAATAAAAAAAAAGTGATGAATTTTTCTGTTGACATTATATGTCAAAAAGCAATATTTTTCTTTTTTTGAATAGTGGTCGTACGATTATAATAATTGACATTAAACCTGCACGCTCAAATTTTTTACTTTTAGTTGAGCAAATTATTGAAGAATGGTAATATCGTTTCTAAACAAAATTTTTTCAGAAGTTGATGTTGTTTATAATTTTTATTTACTGATAGATAAAGAAATAAAAAATCTAAGGCAATTAATAACTCACCAAATCTGATAAGGCGCTACAATTGTTCACGGGTTTACTGTTCCTTCCGTGGAGAAATATTGGTGCTTCAAAACAATGCTTAAAATCAGTTTCAAGCTGAAGAAAACTCAAAAAATTGTTGTAAGGGTAGCAATTTTATAGATCTTGAGTTTTATATTTTCCAAAAAAGGACAATCCTATAAATGCCATAATTTGAGAGGAATTTTCTTTCGGAAATACAGCTAATTTAAAACGTATATATGATGCTTCACGCGGGTATACTGCCTTCAACTTTTTTATTTGCATAAATTTATTAAGTGTCTTTATTGTCATTCAGTAATTAATACCCGAATATCATGATAAGCTGTATAGGAACTCTTCGTATCAGTCTTATTGGAGTGTTGTGATCTAGTTATTAACGAGACACCGAGTTGAACTTACCGCCCTTGCATTCTGTAGACTACCAAAGAAACTTGATGGGATAATTTTGCAGAATACCTTTACAGGGGTCCTTCCTAAAACTGCTCTTAGATAACAGTAAAAAGCTATACTTTGAAATGTGCAGCAATTGGTCTTAGGTTTCTGGAAAAACTGAGCTCAAAAAAGGAAAGGAGAAAAAGAGAAACGAGCGAGCACACGTAATTTAATAGATGACGTGTATACCAACATTTTTATCCTCTGTTATAATGTTTAGGCTTCTTCGCAAAAATTTCGTCAACCGATGGCTTTGTCGTTGAAATTATCTAGCCATATATCCAAGGTATAATTGCTTTGTTGCTCTCAGCTAAAAAACACTCATCACTCGTGATCTTAAAACTCTGTTTCAAGCAACATTTTTTTTAATTTAAGAAACACATGCCCATATATACTCAATAAGGTTACATTTGTTCTTGTCTTTTTTTGCAGAATTTGGCGGTACTTGCCAGCTACTATTCAACGGCATCGGATACCAACCTGAAGACGGTAAGCGCCTAGCTCCAACTCAAGTTAATATGCTTAGTGATTTTGAAAAATAAAATCAGAAATCCATCGTAATGTTTTTTGTAGGTACTAGCCAGAAAAATCCCAGAGCATAACAAGAAGGTGGCAGAATTTCGTAAACAGCAAGGGAAAACTGTTCTACAAAATGTTACCGTTGATATGATCTATGGCGGAATGCGGACACTGAAGGTGGGTGTAGTTGATTGGAAATAGTTATATTTAATATTCCTTAAATAGCTCAATGAGAGCTATCTTCTATTGTTTTTTTGTGAAGGAGCGTATTGCCTAGTAGAATAAACGGTTTCAACTCAAAATTTGCAGTCGATGGTCACTGAAACTTCAGTATTGGATCCGGAGGAAGGTATTCGATTTCGCGGTTACTCAATACCGGAATGCCAAAAGATGCTTCCACACGTACCTGGTGGTGAGGAACCGTTACCAGAAGGTATTTGGTGGTTACTTTGCACAGGGGATGTTCCAAATGAGAAGCAAACGGCTGCGATAAGGTAGGTGGTCGCTGTTGTTTGAGAGAACGATGAATTTGCGAAACTTATATGTAAAGGAATAGATACTGTGAAGTTCCAGTTACCATCTATGTCAGAATTTTTTCGCTTTTTTCAATGACAAAAAACTATATAAATGTGAGTGTATATTAGAGAAAGATACGTTACAAATCTTCTAGTTTTCTTTTTTCAGCAAAGAGTGGGCAACACGAAGTAATCTTCCAGATCACGTTGAAAAAATGCTGGCAAATTTTCCGTCTAATCTTCATCCTATGGCACAATTTGTTGCTGCTATTGCGGCTTTAAGCAGTGAGAGTAAATTTGCAAAGGTTTGTTTTTGTTCTCCTGTTTGTATAAAAATACATAATTATTAAATTAAACAGTAGTTAAATTGCAAAAATATTTGGTTTATTTTAATGAATTAA